AAAAAAAAAGGGGACTGGGGATGTGACTCAGTGGTTAAGCACCTGGGTTTAATCCCTAGTACCCCAAATAAATAAAGGTACTAGCCAGGCATGGTAGCACATACCTGTCTTCCCAGCTGCTTGGGAAACTGAGGCAGGAGGATCACAAGTTCAAGGCCAGCTTGAGCAATTTAGTGAGACCCTATTTCAAAATCTAAAAAGGGCTAGTGATGGGGCTAGGGTTGTAGCTCAGTGATAGAGTGTCTGCTTAGCCCATGTGAGGCACTGGGTTCGAGTCTCATATATAAATAAATAAAGGTTCATCAACAACTAAAAAAATATTTTAAAAGAAATTAAAATAAATAATTAAAAGGGCTAGTGGTATAACTCAGAGATAGAGCATGACTGTGTTCAATCTCTAATACCACAGAAAAATAATATACTGATGTTTTAATGTTTTGATTTTTAAATAATCGGAGTCAGAAACATATGGCTAAAACTTAGGAGCTAAAATTGAAGCAATTGAATTATTTTAATATTTTAGAAAATTAAGAATTCCTATATGGCAAAATTATTTATTTATTTTCATGTTGGATAGATGTGGCTTTTTTTTTTCACATAATGGGCATGGCTGTGAGACTGGAACCTAACATCATTTATGAGAGGCTCTTATTAGTATTTGTTAGTGTAAAATAGATATAAATGCTGATCTGTTCTTGACAGATCTGCTTTCTATATATCTTTTTAGTTTTTATTTATCTTTTATTTCTATATCACAGCAGAATGCATTACAATTCTTATTACACATACAGCATAATTTTTCATGTCTCTGGTTGTATACACAATATATTCACACCAATTTGTGTCTTTATACCTGTACTTTGGATAATAGTGATCATCACATTCCACCATCATTAATAACCCCATGCCCCCACAAAATCATATTTAAATCAAGGACATGATGAATGTGGTAAAGAAAAGAAAGAGATTTTTCACTGTATGCTTGTTTGTACTTTGATTTAAAATTTTGTACTACATAATTAAAAAAATAATTCATTTTTTAAAAGATTATCTAAAAAGAATAGGTGTGGTGGTGCATGTCTGTAACCCCAAAGACTTGGGAGACTAAGGTAGAAGGATTACCAAAACTTAGTGAGACCCTGTCTTTTTTTTTTTTTTTTAATATTTTTCAGTTGTAGTGGGACTCAGTACCTTTATTTTATTTACTTATTTTTATGTGGTGCTGAGGATCGAACTCAGGATCTTGCATATGCTAGGCAAGGGCTCTACCGCTGAGCCACAACCCCAGCCCAAGACCCTGTCTTAAAAAAAAAAAATTATCTGACATTAAAATTATCTCTCCTCCTTTCCTTTGCTTTCAGCTAAAAAAAAAAAAAAATTATATCCTTTTGGAAACTGTCCATATTCTTTAGTCAAATGTGTATTAGCTCCTGAGTTTGTTTTGTTTTCAGTCTAGGGACTTGAACCCAGGACTTGAACACGTTAGGCAAGTGCCATACCACTATACTACATCTCCAGCCCCTTTTTGATTTTTTTTTCTGAGTCAAGGTCTCACTAAATCACTGAGGCTGGCCTTGAACTTAGAACTGGGGATTGAATCCCCTTGTACTTTACCACTGAACTACATCTACATCCCCAGCCCTTTTCATTATTTTCATTTTGAGACAAGGCCTGACTAAGCTTGCTTACAGCCTTAAGTTGCTAAAGCTAGTTTCAAACCTGCATTCCTCCTGCCTCAGTCACTGGGATTACAGGCGTGTGCCACCAGCTCACGCTGGACTTGAATTTTTGATCCTCCTTCCCTGGACCCCTGAGTAGCTGGAATTACAGCAGTCCTGTGCCACTGTACTGGGCTGGTTTCTGGTCTTTTTTTGCTTTGTCTTTTATTTTGTTTTTGTGTTTTGTTTACTGGCAATTGATTCTACAGCCTGGTGCAAGAGTGCTCTATCTAGTGAATCACATCCCCAACACTTATTTATTTATTTATTTAGTACTGGAGATTGAACCCAGGGGCACTCAACCAGTGAGTCATATCCCAACACCCCCACCACCACCCCACCACCCCACCCCGAGATAGGGTCTCACTGAGTTGCTTAAAGCCTTGGTAAGTTGCTGAGGCTGGCTTTGACCTTGCGATCCTCTTGCCTCAGCCTCCTGAGCTGCTGGGATTATGCATATGCTCTGCCACCCTCAGCTATCTATTTATTTTTTGAGGTAGGATTTCACTAACTTGCCCAGGTTGGCCTCAAACTTGGAATCTTCGTGCCTCATCCTCCTGAGTAGTTCTGATTACAGATAAGCATCTCCTAAATAGTTAGGATTGCTGTGCCTGCAAGTTTCTGGACTTTTTCTTAAAATTTATAGGAACCCCTATAGATTAGATAAATTAATCCTTTGTGATTTGATTTATAAATACTTTTCCAAGTTTTTTTCATTTGACTTAATTGTTGTGCTTTTGCTAAAGTAAGGCAATTTGGTAGGTTGATTATGGAAATGACCGTGTGACTTGTTTTGGGCAGTGACACCATAGCAAATGTGACAAAAGCAAATGAATGAAAGTTTTGTACATTGGAGCTTCTGAGCCCACCATGTAAAGAAGCTTGGACCAGCTGTGTGACTAAAACCTTCTTAGACTATTTAGACCCGATTGATCCACCAGGGGACTTTAAAGATCAACTAAACTGACCCAAGCCAGAAGCTGAACTGATTTGGAATGTTAATTACATTTGCAAAATCTCTCCTACAGCAGCTACAGACTTGTGGGTGGCTGAGTAACTGGAGAAAGGTAGGTACATGACACAAAGTGTACCTGCCATTCTGTGCCTCATTCCTCCCCAAGCAGTAACTCCAAGCACCTCTTACCTCGGCTCCTTGGAAGTCTAAGCATGAAAATCTTAAGTTTGAGGCTACCCCAGGCAATTTAGCAAGACCCTGTCTCAAAATAAAAAACAAGGGCTGGGTAGATAGCCCAATGGTAGAAATGGTAGAGTGTTTGCCTAGCTTGCATGAGGCCATGGGTTCAATCCCCAGTTAACACCCCCCGCAAAAAAAAAAAAAAAAAAAAAAGTGAAATAAAGATATCAGACAAACAAAAATGGATATGGAGTATGGTGATAGTTCATTGTCAGCAGATTTACACCAATGGGAATTCTAAAAACAAAAAAACGGAAGGAAAATCATTTCAGATAGAAAACTTAGAGCACATAGATCTAAGAGCAAAGAACATGGCAAATATGTAGGTAAATGTAATACATACTGACCCAAAAAAAGAAAGAAAGAAAAAGATAGTAGGAGATTAAAAAAATAAAAGCACTCATAAAAAATGCATAAATAGAGAAGTGGAAATACATTGATCTGAAAGGAGAGTGAGAGTTTATTTTGAAGCCAGACTTTGGTACATACCTGTAATCCCAGCTACTCAGGAGACAGAGACAACTTAGCTAGACCCTGTCTTGAAATAAAATATAAAGGGGCTGGGGTTGTGGCTCGTGGTAGAGCACTTGCCTTGCATTTATGAGGCACTGGGTTCAATTTTCGCACCGCGTATAAATAAATGAATAAAATAAAGGTCCACCAACATCTAAAAAATAAATAAATAAAATATAAAAAGAGGTGGGGATGAGCTGGGTGTAGTGGCACATGCCTATAATCCCAGATACACAGGAGGATCACAAGTTCAAAGCCAGCCCCAGCAACTTAGTGAGGCCCTAAGCAAGACCCTGTCTCAAAATCAAAAACAAAACAGTTAGGGATCTGGTTCAATGGTTAAACACCCCTGGGTTCAATGCCTGATACTAAAAATAGGGGTGGGGTGAGAGTGGGGGATGTACCTCCATGGTAAAGCACCCCTAGGTTTAATTCCCAGTACTGAAAAAAGAGTATGTTTTGATAACTTACGTATATGTCATAGTTTCAGTTGCATGTACTGTATATGTATACAATTTTAAGCTCATAAAAGTAGAAAATGAGATGCCAAAAATATTTAGATAGCCAGATCATGTCTCAAAGTGCCCCTAGCTTCCATCCCCAGTACAAAAAAATTCAAAAGACTAGAAATAATACAAAGTATTATTCCCTACTACGTGTCCCCCCAACATTTTTTTTTTTGTTTTTATAGGGGAGGAGTAGCATTGGAGGGAGCTTCTGGGGGTTTTGTTTGATTTGTTTTCTCTCTGCATACCTGCAACCATCACTTGACTCCTAAATACTCATTGATCTCCTAACAGAG